CCCAGCCACGTGTCCCCAGGGCGATCAGGCAGAGGCGGGTGGCCAGTGCTCAGCCCCCTTTCTTGGCAAGAGCTCGGACTTCAGGGTCTGGTCTCCAACGTGGGCTGCTCACAGTGCCCTGTTCCTCCAGCGCGAGGCTCTGGGACCCGCTCTGAGCCACTCCGGGCACTTGCCCTCAGCCACGCTGCTGCGCTCCACGTGGCCGGTGTACACGGTCGCGGGCCCGCCGCACCCAGTGTGCCAGGCACCTCAGTGGCACCAGCCTGGGGGCTGAGCCCCTCCTGGCGGGCCCCATGAACAGGTGGAGCTGCGCATGGTCCCGGCTGGGAATCACCGCTGCCCTCCAGGCCCGCTGGGCAGGAGGCCTGAGGGGGACGTGGCATGGGGCTCCGTGGTGGGGTGTCGGGCCCTGTGAGCGGGTCGTGACGCCAAGGTGGGCACCGGCAGGGGCTGGGGACTCGGGTTGGTCAATACTGAGGCGCCTTATTCAGAGGGACGGGGGTGGGGCTTGCTTGTTTTCTTTTTTTATACTTATTTATTTACACATGCAGAACTCGGGTGCAGGCCAGAGGTGTGGGGGTGAGAGGCTTCCCCAGAGGCAGAGTGGGAGCAGAACAGGCAGATCCGCTGACATCCACTGCTGAGGGGGCAGCGGGGAGGCGGGCGGGGCTGCCGCGCCTGTGGTCACTCCCTGGCCGGGGATCGGACCCGAGCTGCAGGGGCTGCGGCCAGCTTGGCAGAGCTGAGACTCGGCCCTGCGCCCCCGGGGAGGCCCAAGGGATGTGTCCATTTGCAAGGCTATTTGCTTCAAGTGAATAGCTACAACACACGCCTGTCCCTCCTTACATATTTTGCTGAACAATCGAATGTTTTGGAAATGAAGCTTTCTGCCTGGAACGGTGGCCAGCACAGCAGCCTTCTTTTGACTAGCTCTCGCTCGAAGAGCTGACTGCGCCGCACTCACCTCCCGGCCACTTGCGTGGCGGTCGGTCGGAGGGTGAGAAGTGTCCTGCTGCCTGGCTGGGCCCTCAGAGCCGCCACTTCCTGCCCCGCCCAGGGCCGCCCGCCAGCCCAGGGCCGCCGCTCATCGCCCAGGTGCACGGCGTGACGCACGAGTCCGCGCGGTGTGTGAGAAACTGAAAGTCCGCTTCAGCACGCCAACGTGCTTTCTGTGCCAGCTCACCGCCCTCAGGCCGAGGCGGGGTGGGGCCCCATCTGCACCTCTGCAGGCCCCCGGCTCATCCCCAGCCCTCGGCACGCTCACGGCCCGGACCCGCCCCTGCGGGAGCCACTTCGCCTTCGATCTTTGGCCAGAACCTTTGGCCATCGGCCCTGCTGCGTCCATCGTCTGGGGAGCCATCAGGAGACCCCACTGGGCCCAGCGCCCAAGCCCTGCTGGGGGCTTACTCGAGACGCTGCGTTCCCTGTGCCTGGGCAGCTGGCTGGCGCTGGTCCCAGGAGAAGGCCGTGCGCGGCGGGGCCCAGCGCAGTGGGCAGGAGGGGGCTGGCTCCGGCCTTTGCCCCAAGCCCCACCCGCGGCCTTCGCCCCCGCCGGCTTCAGCGGAGCTTGCAGGATGCAGCGCAGTGCGGCGTGAAGAACCGGCCTGGTTTGCACTCTGCTCTGCGCCTGGCCGGCTTAGGGCGCCACGTGATGATCCCCGCCCGGCCCAAGGGCCTGGTGGCTGCCGGGTCCTCAGCGAGGGGTTGTGTGGCCAGCTCTGGCACAGCCCCTCTGCGCCGTGGGCCAAGCACAGGCCCCCTGAGGCGGGACCTGCTGCAGCCCCCATCCGGCCATCCTAGTGAGGTGAGGCGGGGTCTTCCCCGCCCCCTGGCTGCTGCAGGCGGTTCCTGCCTGATCCTGCAGGCGCGGTCCTTTCTGTTATATTCTTTGTTTTTCAGTTACAAGAAAACAGAAGCCGGGGTGGGGGGCCGAGGCTATACTTCCTCACAGATGACTGCAGATGCCAGAGTCCCCGAGTCCTGGCCGTGGGGCGTGGGGGCCAAGGAGCAGGGCCAGGACAGAGCAGAACCCGCCCAGTGCTGTGGTGACCTCAGGCTTCCACACCCCTGCTGGGGACCTTACCCTGGGCACCTGGGTCCTGGGATCAGGAGTCCCCAAGGGCAAAGGCCCGGTAGCCCCACCTCTCCCCGCCTGGAATTCAGAACTACAAAGAGCCCTGCCTCTGAGCCCGGCCCTCAGCCACCTGCCCTCCCGCCCAGCTGCAGGAGGGGGGCAGAGTCAGGGAGCGAGGGCGGGTGGAGGGCCTGCTCGGCCTGGCGCGCGCATTGGCTCCAGGGCTGCCCAGGGCCCAGGGGCCTCAGAGGGCAGGAGCTGATTGGCCACAGAGGACACCCTGCGAGGTGTCCCAGCAGGGGCCTGCCCTCCCCCCGGCCCCATCCAGAGCACCGCTGGGCCTTGCACACACCAACCTCTCTGGGAGTCCGTGCTCGGGCACGGGGCAAGGGCCCATCTCCCTCAAATGTCACTCCCAGACCTCGTGTTCTTTTCAGCCGAGAGCACAGTGTCAGGCGCCGTTTATGCGTTTTTTAAAGGCTCATTTATATATGCACGTAAGGACTGGGGTGCAGGCCAGAGGTGGAGGTGAGAGGACTCCCCAGGGACAGTGGGGAGCAGAGCAGGCGGATGCACTGAAACCCACTGCTGAGGGAGCAGCGGGGAGACAGAAGGGGCCTGCCGCGCCCTGGGGTCCCTCCCTGGCCGGGGATCGGACTCCTTGGGCAGAGGGCTGCGCTCTGACTGTTGTGCCCCCAGGGAGGGGCCCTGGCCTATGTATTTGTAAATGGGGGGATCCCAACCCTGCACCACCAACAGCCCCACTGGGTGTAGTTGAGGTCAGAGTGCGACTCACAGATTTAGGGGCTGGCATCCCTTCAACATCACGGAAGTCCATTCCGGCAAACACAATGCAGATTTCTGCAGACGGTTTAGAACAGCAAATGGCAACTTGGCAGCATTTCTGCCTTTACAGAAACTAACCGTCACGCGCTGTGGGCCTTAAACACGCATCCGTGGCGGGCGGTGGCCCCGGGCCCAAGTGCTCTCGGGACTGTGCGGGTCTGTCCTGCTTGGTTTCCACTGAACACACACGTGTTGTCCCCACCTGCAACCCCTCCGGGGTGCACTTGCTCCTCAACTGTGGAAAGTGGTTTCATGCATCTGATTTGTTTTTTGTGCGTGTGTTTGTAAGATTGATTTATCGATGCATGCACAGCTGGAGTACAGGGCAGAGACGCAGGGGCGGTGAGAGGCTTCACCAGAGACAGGTGGGGAGCAGAACAGGCCAACTGACGAGGTACACTGCTGCGGGGAGCAGCGGGGGTCAGGAGAGGTCAGCCGCGCCCTGTGGTCGCCTCCGGGGCGGGGACCGAACGCTGAGGAGGCCACGGCCAGCCTGCCGTGCTGCGTCCTAACCCGCTGCGCCCCCAGGGAGGGCTGTGAGATGGCTCCTGCAGGTACCTGTGAGACACATGGAGACCTCTGTGCCCTGGAGCGGCCCAGCTGCCCCCGAGCACAGCCCACAGCAGCGCCGTTGCCCCCGGCAGCCGGCGCGTCCTGCTCGCCCTCCCTGTGGGTTTGGCCGGCCCTGCACCCCGCACGGCAGACCTCCGAGGGGCAGCCTGAGCCTCCCGGGAAAGGAGCATGGGGGGGGGGCTCGCGGGCCGTCTCCGGTAAGGCCGCCCAGGCCTGGCTGTTCCCTGTGGTCGCACAACTTTGCTAAGAGACCATAAAGTAACAGATCACACGTGTCTTTCGCTGAAAGAATTTATAGAAAAAATGACTCAGATTTTTAAGGCCCGATATGTTTAGTATCTTCAATATTTTAGCCCGTTCGTGCGCAGGGAGACGTCGCTTTCCTGGACTTGGGGCGGGGGCTGTGGAGAACTGGGTTCCTGGGGGCGACGGGGCTTGGGCACCCAGCGTGTGAAATCTCTGCCCGCTTTCTCAGTCTGCCTGGCAGCGGCCGTCAGACCGGGCACAGTGCCAGTCGGGCCACGAAGCAGTAGTTCTTGCACGAAGACCGTGACTTCCGAGTGGACGGTCGCAGAGGACGGGGGCAGGGCCCGGAGGCTGGTGGGAGCGTGGGGGCCGCGCAGGCCTGGCGGCCCGGCCTGCAGCGCGTCCAGCCTGCTTCCCAGGGGGGTGACCGCGCCCCGGGAGGACACCCCCCATCAGAGTCGCCTGGATCTTCTCTGGTGTCTCCTCAGTGTTCCCGGCGCCGTTGTCCTCTCTTAGAGGGTGGCCTGCCTGGGCCCAGCCTTGGCCAGCTCGGGGGCCCCAAGCAGAGGCTCTGACCCTCTCTTCCTCACCCCCAGCTGGGCAGCGGCCCCGGGGGTGGCGGCCGCCTCTGGGCCAAGGTCACCGACGTCCGGCGTCCGTGCGTGCAGCTCGGGTGAGGGCTGTTCCGACGTCCCTCCCAATGGGCTGAGTGCGCTGCCGTTGTTTCAGGGCAGGCGTGGGGTTACCCCTGCTGCTAGGGCCTGGGCCCAGCGTTTACCCCGCATCGGCTCACCTTCCCCTCTCTTCCTGTGGGGAAAACGCCTCACCTGGGGACCTCTAGGCAGGAGTCAGCTCGCAGACACGCCAGGTGAAGCTGCGGCCAGTTGTCGGGCCAGGTCAGCACCCCAGAGTCTCACCTGCGCCGCTAACACCCGGTGCTGGCCAGGCCGGCCTGGGTGCCCGTGCGTGGACGCGGCCCTGCGGCAGGCCCTGTGTGCCGGGGCTTCTCCGGGGAGGCCTTTGTGATGGCGGAACTGGAGCGGGGCGGAGGAGCCGGGCCCCTCGCGCTTCTGGGGGTTCTTGGTGTGTGGACTGGACGCTTCGCCCACCTCGTGGGCGATCCCAAGTCCAGGGGCACCAGCGAAGGCCTCGGCGTCACGGGACACAGCGATGAGCAGGACATGAGGTGCTGTCCTGTGCCGGCCAGGCGGGGCTGGGTGGGCGGGTGCGGGCGGCTGGCGGCGGGAGGGCCCCGCGGGGCTCAGAACAGAATCCCGTCCCTGGGGGCGGACTCCATGGGCTTCCTCTGCTCCTGCTCCTGCTGGTATCGGGCCTTCTGGTAGAAGACGATGATGACCACCGCGCCCACGTCCAGGCCCATGATGAGCAACAGGAGCCAGAAGGGCGCCCCGTAGCTGTGCGTGGTGCCCCGGTGCGTGGAGGCCGGGTAGGAGGCGTAGAGGGCCTCCACCAGCTGCTCGGAGAGCTCGCTCAGTGTGCTCGCCGCGAACAGGATCATGGCCAGCAGCGCGGAGGCGGCTGCGGAGAGAGCGCAGTCTCGTGAGTGACGCGCGCCGCTCTGGGGGGTGCCCGGAGCTCGCAGCCCGGGCAGGGGAGCAGGCTCGCTCCCCTTCAGCGTGGGGGGAAGGTGAAAGCCCCCAGCGCCCAGGCGGCACAGAGCCGCGGGGGGCCCGGCGGCCCCCCACTTCCCAGGGCGTGGCTGGCGACTAAAGGGTCACGGGGCTGTCTGCAGGGGCGGGCTGGTGGGGAAGCCCAGGCCAGGGGGACGAGTCTCGGCAGAGGCCCCGGGGCCCCCACACACCCAGCTTCGCCCCGCGCGGTGGGGTGTGGCGCTTCATCAGAAACTCACTTTAGCGGACAGTCCTCGACCTGCCTGCCCCCCTCACTCCTCACGACGCCCCCCACCCCCAGAGGACACGCCTCGGCTTGGCTGGAGCCCCGGGCCCCGTTTGGAGGACAGTTCTGGAATCTGAGCGGGGTCGCGGGCTCAGCCTTGAGGCCTGGGGACACCGCGGCTCTCCAGCTTCCAGAGGGGCAGGCTCGAGCTGGGCCAGGCTGGGGGCGCAGCCTTGGGAGGGGCGCGGGTTCTTTTGGAGGTGAGGGCCGTGCTCTCAACCCGCCGGCGGCTGGACATCCTGAGGGGCACAGGGATGGCCGAGGTCACCTCTAGGCCCTACTGCTGCGCAGGGAGCCCTGGGGGCCAGACCCAGAGCGGCGTCCTCAGGGCCCGGGACGGATGTCCTTCCGGACGCCCTGGGGCCCCTCCCGCTGACCCCGCCCAGAGGCGCCAGCGGCCGGTTGCGACAGCGTAGGGGCTGCAGACGGCTCTAATTAGAGGGTTTTGTGCGAGGAGAGGCTCTGACGGCCCTTGAAGACCGACTTTCATCCTCGGCGTGAAGGTTTTATTTCTTCCTAACTTGTGCGCACGGATCCCCTGCCCGAAGCTCTGTGTCTCACCCGCCTTAATGACCCTTCATTACGCGCCTGTGAATCTCCTGTAAAAGCTGAGTCGCGGAGACGGCGTGAAGACAGGCTCAGCCTCTTCTCCCGAGTGGGAGTGGGCTGCGCCTGACTTTGATTAGCCAGGACGGGGCCAGCTCACATGGACACGCTGACCGCGTCCTTTGGGAAGGAGCGCCGGGAGCTGCGTCTCCTGCTTCCTGGAACCCGGTGGGGGTGGGGGTGGGGTGCTCTGAAGTGGGGACGCTGCCCGCACCCCGGCGGCAACCACAGGGCCCCGCGGCCTGCCGCCTCTGCTCAGAGCCCGAGCGACGGAGTGAGCCTCCAGCGCCTCTCACGGGCGTCCTCTCGTCACGGGGCTCCCGGTGGCCAGGGTGTGCCCACCGAGGGGACGGGGAGTGGGGGGGCAGGTGGTGTGCCCCTTTTTCTCCTCAAAGAAGAATCCCCACGGAAACAGGCTAGGAAATGAGGGAGCCTAGCTCCTCTCCCCCTGCAGCCGAGAGCCTGCCCCAGTCTGGCCCAGCTGGAGCTGTCACGGCCCTCCGGCTGCAGCACCCAGGCAGTCAGGCCTTGCCCCTCCCTGCCTCAGAGACCCCCGTCTGCCCAGGAGACCTGAACGGAGACACTCCAGCCCTGCAGGCGCCTGTGCAGAGACTGGGCTCATCAAAGGCGCGCTCAGGCCACATGGCAGGCTGCACGAGGCCTGGGAGCCGGGGGCTTGAGGGCCCGCAGGGGTGCAGAGCGGAGGCTGCCCCAGTGCCTGACACCCCAGTGCCCAGCTCCTCCCCCACGCCCCAGGGCCTCTCCCTGTTGGCACTGGCCCCAGCTGGAGAGGAATGTGGCTGGGCACAGCTCCCTGCCCAACAGCACCCTGCCGCTGGCCAGCGGGCGGCCAGGGAGGCTGCGCCCTTCACTCAGCTCGCGCACGACACGCGGCCTCTGCGCGGGCCCGTCGGCCCACGCTACACCCGGGCGAGGCCAGACGCTCCGGCCGCGCGCAGCAGTTGCCTGAGGTGAGGCCACCGGCCCGCTCTGTGGAGGCTGCACCCTCGCTGTGGGGCACCCAGCCCGACTGTCCTGTCTGGCTCCAGCGCCTCCCCTTCCCCGGAGCCTGCCCCGGCTGCAGCGCGGTGCGGTGTCCTGAGCCCGCGCTGGCCCACCTGTGACTTGCTGCCCGCAGGCCCTGAGGGCCGGGGCGGGGCGAGTCCAGGGAGAGGCAGGGCCAGGGCGTCCTGCTCAATGTCTGGGCCTGTGCCTTGGCTCAGGTGAGCCAGGAGTGGTGGGCAGACACCCGCCCGCCTGTCGGAGGACCAGCCCAGCCACTTGGGCAGGCCCCAGAGAAGCAGAAGCCTGACCACGTGGCCTGAGAGCCTGGAGCCGGCTGTGCCTGGAGCCGCTGCCTCCTCCCCTGTTCTGTCGCCCAACAGAAGGACCCTAAACGTCTGGCCGGCAGAGCCAAGGCCTTGCCTCTGGCTCATCTGGCGAGCGGCAGCCCCAGGCCTGCCTGAGAAAGGAGGCCCTCATCCGGCGCCCCACCGCGGAGGGGCTCCGGGTGCCCCCACCGGGCAGTGTGCTGGCCACCGTGGGTGTCTGAAGTTGGCGCCGTTTGCTTCCAGCCCAGGTGCTGGAGGGGAGGAGAGGGAGACCGGGTGCCGCGTGGGACGCAGC